CAGATATTCCATTTAAAATTGAGGACCTAGAGAGTTCTGGTTTTCATAACAGATGGCCACTGGAACAGTTTCAATTTGAGCACTAGACTTTGCTCCAGGGTATAACAGCAGCCTCCTCCATGAGATTTGAGCCCCATGACTCTCCAGTCCAGAGCCCGAACCTCTTACTTCACATCACTGCCTCGGTTTCTACAAATGCTATTTACCACCCAAATATAAAAAAAGACCCCAAAATTATCAGGACTAAATAAGGGGATTTTCTTGTACACAGTGGTAAATTTATTGTCATCATGCAGGCTGCCAACCACACTGTATGTTCTGCTTCAGAAAGGGACGGTTATCCTAGTTGATCTTCGAGTGGCTGTCCCGGTAGTGATCTTTTTCAGAAGACTGCCTTGTCCGTTGGTTAGTGTGGTCACAAGGGTAGAAGACTTAATTGATGACAGCAGGGAGGGCACGTGGTTGGTTACTGTAAGACTCCTGGAGAGTTTGTGTAAATTTGCCAAGAGGGAGAAAAAAGGGGTGTTGATATTTATTATGTACACACTGTACCCACTGCATTAAGTTCTATTTTTGGATGAATAACTCAAGACCAGCTACAGCAGTTTTGCAAATCTACCCCTCCCCAATGTGTAAAAAAATCCTGTTCTGCTTTGAAATTGCTAGCAATGCTGGCACGAAAACAACATGTGTGGACTAGAAATATTGTTTGCAGCTAGTTGCCAATTACTGAAGGCACATATCCGTAGTAGTACTTACAAAAAATAGTGGTTAATTTAGTGGAGAAAGGCTGACATGACCAATATGTTTCAGTACTACAGCTGAAACCAGACCATGTAGAAGGAGAGGGAAAAACAGGAAAAAAGCCAAATGCGGTCTGGAGAATGTACAAAATTTTAGAATCGTAATAAATCCCGAGCCACGCTAAGACAATGCTTGAGTGAAGTATTTTATCCTTTTGCAGTTTACTGTACTAACTGGACTTTTTGCTAAGTTCTAGTTGAGTTTAACATTCGAGAAATAATTATGGTGAAACTGATCTTATTGGACCTCTACATTGTGTCCATACATTTGCCATTTCACTGTAATTAACGAACACCAGCCCCGAAAGTGAACCTAGCCAGTATGCTAGTGAGTGAAATGCCGGCTACAGGGCGAAAAAACCAGACTGGCAAGGATAAAATGGGTCCTTAAACTTCTCAGTGTTGTTTTGTTCCCTGGGGGGAGGAGGGAGGGGGTTGATCATTCCAGAAAGAAAAATGTTCTGTTAAACGTCCTGCATTTTCACTTGTAAAAAAAATAATGCAATTATTTTATATTCCTCCCACTAGAAGTGTGTTTGTTTAGATCAACTTTAAAAGCCATGAATAACATTAAGGTATCACGAAATGGTACAGAGATGATTAATAAATATTTTTTATAAAAACTACTTAATCACAATAACCAAAGACAACAGCAGACTGCTGCATAAAGTGTAAAGTTATCAAGTTACAGTAAGAGAAACAGTATTAGTTTAGAAGTTCTGTATTTCAAAATCTATTTCCATAATTTATTTATTTTTAAGACCTTTGATACACAAGTACTGTATATGAAGGCGTTTTTTTTCCCCATTTTCAAGTAAAATGATTTTGTATGACCCACGAAGTCTGCTTTGTTTTACCAATACAGCTATACTGCAGCATAAAGTCTGCATTCTTCGAAAGTATATCCAGCCCATCAAGCATGCAGGCATCTATGAATTTACTGGAGCTCATGAATTACAGTGCCTTGCGAAAGTATTCGGCCCCCTTGAACTTTTCAACCTTTTGCCACATTTCAGGCTTCAAACATAAAGATATAAATTTTTTATTTTATGTG